CTCCGGCTTTCGAGGCGTGATCCGGCTCCTGGATTGGTTTGAGAGTCCGGACAGTTTCATCTTGGTTTTGGAAAGGCCGGACCCCGTCCAGGATCTCTTCGACTTCATCACGGAGCGAGGGGCTCTGCCGGAGGATTTGGCCCGCAGTTTTTTCCGCCAGGTTTTGGAGGCTGTTCGACATTGTCACAGCTGTGGGGTCCTGCACCGGGACATCAAGGATGAGAATATTCTCATTGATCTAAGTACAGGAGAGCTCAAGCTTATAGACTTTGGATCCGGAGCGCTCCTCAAGGACACGGTGTACACTGACTTCGATGGTGAGTAGTACGATCGGCTTGACCAGAACATCCTCCTTTTTCCAGGACGCGTCCTACATTTCAGCCTTCTGTCAAGGAGGAATTCCAGTATGTCCTCCATTTTGAGCATGGCCAAGAAGCATAAATCTAGATTAGTGTTTTAGCTTTATTTGGTCGGGATGCACATTTTTCTTGAATGCCCTACATTTTGTGGTGCCTTGTCCTCCTTTGTGGTGAGGACATTTGGTCACCCTGATAATGATGATCACTTTCCATTCACTGCTGGGAGCTGGGGAGTTTCCTTTTCCAAGCACTCTTCCCTGCCTTTGAGTGTTGAATAACTTCTCAGGAGAGGAACATGTTCTTCCTCTAAGCTTTACGACTTGTCCCTGGGAAATGCATTTTGTCCTGAATTTACCTACAAACCCCTTTGTTGCTAGGAGATCTAACTCCCATCAATGGCTAGTCTTTGCTTTTGATTAGGAGATTGCTCTTCTAGAAGTCTAGGGGACCCTCTTTTCAGTGCCAATACAAAAAGTGCCATTGGGCAAAAGATCTGCTGAAAAATTTCAGCATGGTTTGCAATTCACCTGCTAGATGACGCAGATGAGTTTGGGTCTTCAAGCTGCGAATGTAAACAGACTGGCAGCCCTGCTGTTTGAAACCAGGAATGCCAATCCTAGCCTTGCAACCCAAGTGGAAAGCTTAGAGACCCTATTGCTATATTTCTGCATATAGTAGAAGTAGATGGACCAGAGGATTTTGTGTTCTGCCCTTCCCAGCGATGGCTGGCTAAGTACAAAAGGAGAAGGGAGGGAGGGAGGTGATTGTCCAGAAGAATGGTTGCCTCTGCCATCTCACTAAATTAATCATCTCAGTTGGGAAGTTGCTCTGCGTCATGGCACCAATGTTGTGAAATTTAATCTAGCAAGAGATCTGTTACAGCCAGTTACTTTCCTTTCCTACCAAGAAGTATGTGAATGTTATTTCTAGGTGTTTGTTTTATTTTATTTTATTTTTTTAAAAAAAGGGGGGGAGTCAGTGGAGAGTAATTCAAGTAATGGTGTTAAGATTAGAAGAAGGGACGCTTGATCTGCTCATGGACACAAATGATATTCGGAAAACAAACCAAGCTTCTTGTGTTGGTAACAGGCACCTCCTAGCCAAGAAGGGCCGTTGATTTCAAAACAAACCACTCCTAGCTTTCGGGTTTTGTTTTGTTTTTTTGCCCTCCTGAGTCCCCCAGTGGCATGAGCTGCCTTGCATTTTTGTGTTTTGTTTTGTGTTTAATTTAATAACGGTTAATGACCAGGGATGGCTTAGCTCCTCCCCATGTTGCCCTCTTTCTGGCTCAGTTTCCCAAGCTTGTGGCGCCCCCTGGTGGATCCTGGAGTATTTTTTTACAACCTAAAGTTTGTAAACAAGAGTCACGTGGCTGGAAACCAGACAAGCAGCTCTGACCTTCCTATCCTTGCTTCCCGTGGGGCAGAGAGAGATCAGATACTTGCCAGTGTGTCACCCTCAACTACCTCAAAGGGCAGAAAAATAGTTTAAAATTGCATTACAGACAGGGCACGCCAGCCTTCCTGCAATTGTTAACTAATCCTTTTCCAGTTCTGGTATCTTCATCCATGTGACCAAGCACTGTGCATACATCAAGCCAATAGAGACTTTAAAACATTCTGGTCCTTGAATTTTCTACACGCTTAGTTCTCTTAATGATGAAAGCTTCCTCATTTTCCAGGAACGCGTGTATATAGTCCTCCGGAATGGATCCGTTTTCACAGATACCATGGCAGATCTGCTGCTGTCTGGTCACTTGGTGTATTACTTTATGACATGGTCTGTGGAGATATCCCCTTTGAGCACGATGAAGAGATCATACGGGGTCAAGTCTATTTTCGGCAAAGGGTTTCTCCAGGTAAGTGTTTCTTGTTCTTATTTGCTAACTTAAGGGGGAGGGGGGATAATTGAAGTTTTAGGTGTAACACTAAATCATTATCACTAGCCAGAGCTTATTCCCCCCATCCTTGGGGAGATGGTACCTAGTTCTGAACACTGTAATCTTAGATATGGAATGGAATCATTTGACCCTCCAGATGTTGGGCTGCAACTCCATTGTTCTTACATCTGGAAAGCCACATGATACCCATTTATGGAAGATGTTGCTGCCATGTGCTAATATATTGAGTCACCTGCAGCTTGTAAGAAACTTCAGTGATGCAGGCAAACTCACAGAATTTGGACCTAGTTACATATTATTACCTAAGCTGTACTAAGTTGTACAGCCGGTCCTCCATATCCACAGATTCTGTATACAGATTCCACCATCCATGTCTTGAAAATATTCTAAAATAATAATCCAAAAACAAAAACAAACCTTGATTTTGCCATTGGAGACCATTTTATTATTGCATTGTATAATGGGACCTATCCACCGGGATCCTGGAACCAAACCCCAGCAGATACCAAGAGCCAACTGTATTCCTCAAATGATCTGTTCTTAAGCCCTTCAAGAGCCCCTTTTGTTATCAAATCTCTTGCCTACACAAGGAATTCTTATGTTACTGAGCTTTGGCATAAAGCACCTAGTAGGGTGCATGAACTGGTTAAACATAGTGGTGGGCACATAACAAACTTCTGTTATGGAGCAAGTTGGAAGGATTTTACTGCAGTAGATGTGTTCTTTGCTTTTGCAGGCTCTTCTCACAAGTGGACTTTTGCTAAATTTGTCTTTTCTTTTTTAGAATGCCAGCATCTCATTAAGTGGTGTTTAGCTCTGAGG